TGAGTTTTGTCCAAACCGGTCCCTTCGATTGTGAAGCCACAATGTTCTTCTTCTGCCTGGACTACGTTTGCCTTCACTCTTTCCCTGGAGAGGATTAAGCGAAGGATGCCATGTTTTTCCAGGTGTCGCATCCCATGTCCAAAATAGTGCTTTTTTAATGGTTTTGATGATTTCCCTTGGCTTTCTCAGGCGGCTTATCACAATCAGTAACACAGCCCCAACATACCCATTGCACGACTAGAGCTTTTCCAATGTATTAAGACATCCACCCTCCCATTTCTTGGGATCTGAAAATCAGGATTAAAGGTGCGGGGTGGTGTGGGGGGGGGGGGGGGGGGGGGGGGGGGAGAGAGAGATCCAAAAAGGAAGAGCCATTTATTTACCATGGCATTTTTTAAAAAAAAAAGTTCTGCTTTTGGAGAATTTAAACAATATATATATAGATAGTCCTCGAGTGGTGTGGTGGCCTAGAGGTGAAGCTCTCGCCTCACAATCAGGAGGCTGTGAGTTCAATCCTAGGTAGAGGCGGATATTTCTCTCTCTGGGCACACTGAGAATATAATCTGCCGAACAAAACGCCACCCTGGTGACAGGAAGGGCATCCAGCCAGTAAAACATTGTTAGCGCCCTTCCGTTGCCCAGACTCCACCCCCGCAAGGGATTATGGGGCCCGTTAAAAAGAGGGTGTTACAGGTAGACCCCAATTGAGCCCACAATTGAGCCCAAAGCTTCCATTCGTAAATGAGATGGCTGTTAAGTGAGTTTCGCCCCATTTTTGCGACCTTTCTCGCCATATCCTTGTTCAGGGAATCCCTGCAGTTGTTAAAACTGGACTGACCAAGCTCAGTCATTAAGTGAATCCGGCTTCCCGTTCACCTTGGCTCATCCGGAGGTCGCCAAAGGGGGGGGGAAGAGCCCAGGATAGCTGCGATCGTCATAAATCTGAGTCAGTTGTCAAGCATCCGCATTTAAGTCACGTGTCCTTGGGTGGTGGGGGGGAAGGATGCTGCCATACATGCGAAAAATGGCCGTAAGTGTGAAAAACAGCCCTTTTTTCAGTGCTGTTGTAACTTTGGTCACTAAACCAATGGTTGTAAGTCGAGAACTGCCCGGAGCTCCCCATCTCCTCATTATTAAAAGCCAAGAGCAGCATTTTGGCCCCATTCCATGAAATTATAGTATTTTGAGGGGGAGCTTGGCATACATTTGTCTTCCCTAAAGGGGTTCGCGCCCCCCCTCCGGTAAGGACGATCTCTGCCGCCCCTTTGCCCCCTAAAAGCTCCATCGCTTCCCCCCCCCCGGCCTTTACTCACCTCCGGGGCCTGAGGGAAGCGGGGCTCGCGGACTCTGGTCAGTCAACGCGGCTCCGCTCCTCGAGAAGCGACCGACGGCAACGACAGGAAGGCGCGGTCGCCAAATAGGGCCCGGCTCTGGGACAAGGGCCACTGCGCCTGCGCAACCTCCCCACCTGTGCACTAGCGCGCCTGCGCGGTGGGACCGAAGGCCTCGCCCTCTGACCTCTTTTCCCGCCACGCCTCCTCTCCGCACTGGGCGGGCAGCGCTCCTGGCGCCTGCGCCCGGGAAGGCTGCGATCCGGAAAGCGAGCGTTCCTCTCTGACTGCGCTTGCGCGAGGAAAGAGGTTGCGTTGGGGGAGAGAAAAAAAAAAGGCAGAACGGGGTGATGTAATGTGCCTGCGCGGGTGGGAAGTTGACCAGGGTGTGGGGATGATATTGGCACAGTTTGTCTCGAGATTAAAATAAAGCAAGATAATTTCTTTTTGTGAAATAATCTTAAGGCCTAGGAGCAATATTTGCAGAAGGAGCTGAGTTGTTTCTTCCCACGCAGAGAAATTCATGGGTACAAGGAAGAAGACGTGTCATTTGCCGCACAGTGAAGATTTCTGTTGTTTTTTCCAACCGGTTTTTTTGCGCCTGTTTGCAATTTTGGGGAAGGGCCCACGAGTTGAAATGCAGCCCACTTTCTATTTCCGAAGAAGGGACCCTCCTGAGTCTAAGAAACTGCCATCCCGTGCAAGCCTTCCTTGGAAATAAAGGATCTCGCCCAGAAAAAAATAATTCCACTTTCTTATTTGCAGAACATAAAATACATTTAATGAATTGATGCATTTCAATAAGTCTGTTTAATTGAACCTCTAGTGCTTAAACTAACTTGGGATTTCTCCAAGATTAATATTCTTCCATAACTCTTTTAAGGCATCCTAGGACAATTTTCAAACACTTTTGTTTCTTCAAATATATGAGGACAAAATGATCTGCATAATTTCCTTCCTTCGTATTTTAACGTCTGTTTTGTGCATATGCAGCAACTGGGCTTATCCCATATAGTTTACTTATTTATTAAGCAAAGTATGATGCGTGATATCAATTATACTCAAGCCATGAACCAAGAGTTAGAAAATAAAGCAAATTCAGTGCTAAAGTGGGGGAAAAAAAGTCATGTTTGGTTTAATGGTTGTGTAAACCTATCCATTAAAGTGTGGGTTGTGTAGTGTTGGGACTGAGCCTTATACTAGAAGCCTGGATATTTAGGTACAAAAATGCTAATTTTGAATGCCGAGGATTGTTCTGTCTGCTGGATTTGGGTTATGCATATTTTTTAAAAAGTTTTGCAGCTGGGCCAGTTAAAAATTGCACAACTTTTATGATTCCAAAGGTATTTTGCTGCTGGGGAAAGGTGAAAGTGGAAGGGTTGGGCCTCAACCTCCCTCCCCTCTTTGTGTTCTCCCTAGCTGCACAGTCCACAACTTAACAATTGGGACCGGAGCTTCCATTGCTGAGTGAGGCCGTTATTAAGTGAGCCTTTCATCTCTTCCTGCGGTTGTTAAGCAAATCACACATTTATGCGAATCTGGCTTGTCCCATTAACTTCGCTTTTTGGAAGCCGGTTGGGATTGTGACATAATTATCACGCGTCATAAATACATGCTAATTGCCGCGTGCTCAGATTTTGATTTATGCGACCATGGGCTCATAAAGTTTGAGGACAGGTTGCAAGTTGTTTGGAAGGGAAGTGATCATGGGACAGAAAAGCAAAGGATTCCATCAATTTCTTTTCCAAAGGATGAAGCTTTATTCAGACTAAACATGAAGATTGCTCCGAGTAGGGTAGCATTTACAAGAGACAACCCAAATTGGACCCTCCTAACGTTTTCCGTCCTTGACATGAAAACGCAACCAAACTGCATTCAGAACAGACGCCTCAACTCTGAGAACTTGTCTTCCGTCCATCATCATCTTGATGAAGAACATCCGGACGCTTGGACGGCTGGTTAGCGAACCCCTTTTCTTCCCCCAAAGGGCCAAGAAGCTCTTCCTTCCTTCCACTCTCCTTCTACTTCCTTGCAAGTGCCTTTATAAACGTCTTCGGGCTGCTCCGGTCCTCCCCACGGCAGCGAGCAATCTTCCCACGGTGCAGCCGCCTGAGATGCTTAGCCTGTCAGACTAGAAAGGAAAGGCGATTTAGCTGGGGGAAGCCAGAGCAAAGAGAGAGGAAAGCGTGAGAAGGCACAGTGGTTGGTGATAAACCAACAGCACAAGACAAAACCAAACTCTTAAAGGTCCCTCTTTGCCTCACAATCGGGAGGCTGTGAGTTCAATCCTAGGTAGGGGCAGATATTTCTCTCTCTGGGCACAATGAGAAAAATCTGGTGAAAAAAAAAACTCCGCATTGGCAACAGGAAAGGGATCTGGCCATTCAACACCCCGCAAGAACAGCTTACAACTTACAAATTATGGGGTCGTTAAAAAGAAGATGATCCACTTATGAAGTCCTTCCCAAGGACCTAGGATAGGCAGATGTGGTTGTTTGATAATGTTAAAATTTGTCTCTATAGGTTGTAAGCTGTTTTTTTTACAATTGACTGATGATGATCAATACAGCCAATGTTCCTTCTGTGATATACTACTATAAGTTAAAGGAATATGGGAGTTATCCCAAAGGTGCTTTTTCTAAAAGGCAACTGGACTCTCTTCGGGTTTTTTAATTGAAAACATTTTGCTTCTCATCCCAAAAGCTTCTTCAGTTCTAAATCGATGTTAGTTAGAACTGGAGAAGCTCCTTGGATGACAAGCAAAACATTTTCAAAGAAAAAAAAACCAAGAAAGTCCATCAGGCTTCTAGAAAAAGCACCTTTTGGACAACCATGACTTGGATGATGGAAAACCTCCACAGATATTTAATATGGGAGTTGATAGACAACCAAACTTTATGAGATAAATGTCAGCATTCTAGAAAACCTCCACTCCAACCAATAACTCCAAGACAGACATCTTTTCAAAAGTTCTGTTTTAATTGGATAGTAAACTGGCACATCTGTAGAATCCCGAAACTTGAACGTTCAGGGCTTTCTTGCAATAAGTAAAAACTACAAATCCACCCGACCTGCACCCATCACCACCCCATCACCACCCCATCACATGCCCCAATCACCATCCGTCCCAACATGAGACGTCCCCTCACTCGGGTGCAGAAATAACATGACCTTGACTTAGAAAAAGAATGCTATTATATCTAACCACATACACTTCAAGAACTTTTCCCCCTCCCACTTTCCCAGGCTCAAGAACGTGGCAGTGAGGATGCTGGAGATTCTAATATGACTTCCAAAGGTGACACTAAAGACTTTGGGGACCTCCAGTCTAGGTGAAGACTTCCTAGTTCAGAAGGCTTGTTGAGATCTCCAAAACACACTTCCCATCCACTTTCTCCATCTTTCCAATCCCTTCCTTTTCGGTGGCTGAGGTCCCACATAGTTGACTTCCAGCAAAACGTGCTTGCTCTTCATAGGATCTTCATAGGATTCATAGGATCTTTATGTATTGATTGAGTAGCCCTATAGGCCATTGAGTAGCCCTATAGGTCAATGTACATGGTTCAAACCCGTATTATCAATAAATCAGAGGATCTTCAGCCCAGCCTTCCACAAACCAGGGTTTGTGCATGAGTATCCCAACACACACACTCGGGCAAGGGAGGCAGGCGATTCCATACCTACCAGCTGCAGGGCCAGAGGGGAGTTTTATTCCTCGGAAACTGACTTGGAGCTGCCGGATTTGGAGACCTGGATGATCTCCACGGAGGTGAGCGTTTTGCCGGTGGAGAGGCGGTGCCTGGTGCGGAGTTTGTTCAGAGCGGATTCCGCCATTCCTGCTCTCTCTTCAGCATCGTCCAGTTCGTGTACCGTTTTCCGGTACCTGGCCATGCTCTGGTTTGCTTGCTCCTCCTGCAGTGAAGAGAGAAGGGCTTGTTTTGATTGATTAATTGAAAATGAATTTATATAGCCGCCCAACTCACCCAACACAGAGCCAGTTTGGTCTAGTTGGTTAAGGCACCAGGCTAGAAAGCAGGAGACCAGACATCATTAATCGGTGTGTGTGTGTATACAACTATAGTTATAGTTGTCATACTGGTAGTTGTACTTGTAGTTATAATTTACTTATAGTTTAATTATGTATGTGTGCGTGTGTATGTACAGACACTATATATAGCAACTATAACTATGGTATAGTATAACTATATAATTTAATCTAGAACTATAAACTATATAACTAAACTGTAACTATAACTCTGTGTGTGTGTGTGTGTGTGTGTGTGTATGGTATTCAGTTTTGCTCGGGTATTTTCCCACGTCATTATAGTTGTGCTTTTAAAGTTGTAGCAACGTTTCAGCAGAATCTCATCTGCCATCATCAGGCTTCTGTATTGTGCACAACTACAATGACATGGGAAAATACCTGAGCAAAGCTGAATACCATAAATGCAAGTACCTGCGAAAACTTAAGAATATATAATATATACTTCATCGAAACGTTGCCCAGATACTTTGAATCTTACGCGGGAGAAAACCCGAACAACCAAAGATCCACATACATAACTAAACTATAACTAAACTATAGATAGATAGATAGATAGATAGATAGAGTGTATGTTATAGGTTAGTTATGGTTATGGTTAAAGGTCCATAGAGTCAAGGACTACCTGTATGTCTAAAAATGACAGTACGTACAGCCTCGTCAATCTGCCTCTTGTAGATCTTCAGCTTGTTCTGCAGTTTTTCCACCAGTTCCTGCATGTGCTGGTTGTTCTTGTGGTCCTCTTCTGTCTGGAAGACCAGCTCCTTCAGACGCCGCTCGTTCCTCTGCAGCAGCTTCACTGTCTCCACGTGGCGCTTTTGTTCGGAGTCCAGTTCATTGTCCAGCTCCTTGATCTGGAAAGGAAGCCGAGGCCGAGGCTGTGAGATCCACCTCAAAGGGGACCAGGGAAGGTCATAAGACGGGCACGATGACGGGACACGATCGTGCCATTTTTTTTTT